CCCCCCCAACTCTTCTGTCAATTCCCCCCCCCCCCTTTCCTAACTCCCCCTTTCTCTGTCTGAGGTAACAATCTCTCTTCCTGAAACCCCTCCTCTCTCTCTCTCTCTCTCTCTCTCCAGGCTCATAGCCAGCATGCAATTTCAATTCAAACAGTTTTTTTTTTTGGAAAAAGTGGATCTTTTACCATGCAACCTGCAGGTGCCTATATCAAATTTTACCCATAGCCTTTTCCCAGCCAAGAAGGCAGTTCATTTAAACCAACCCTGGCTACAGGCCCTGCTTTAATTTCCCTCTCTTTAACTTTCTCTCCCTCTCTCTCTAATACCCCTCTTCCCCCTTATAATTGCTGCACCTGTCTTGTGGAGGCTCTCTTTGCCACATGGTTGGACGTACAGGCGTCACACATGTCACTCAGTTTCTTAAGCTCCATGAAGTTTCCACTGCTCTCATAGGCTTCTGTGACAAACGGGAGGGAGAAAGAACCTGGAATATTAAACATATGGGGTGGACACAAGTCATTTCAGGTACTATATAAGATACATTTATTTTAACGGAAATATTGACGTAAATAACTTACAGTAAGCAGACTTGAGCCCATTTTGCATCCCGCAGTACATGTACTTGTATTGAAATACTTGCAGATATTGACTACTTAATTAATAGCCCTGTTATTGTGTAAGAGACTGAGAACGAGTTACCTAGATCTAAATGGATCCCTCATGTATTTTAATGTAAGTGAGTAGAAAAATGAATCCATACCAGTGTTTTCAAGGACTGCCACTGTAAACTGCTCCAATACATCTAAAAAAAGAAAAAATATATAAATCACTTTTATAAACAATTATCTGCAAATAAAAATATCAGTGTTATAAATTAATAACTCATAAATTAACCATTTTCCTTGGATCATATAGGCACCATATCAAATAATGTACAACTTTATGAAAAAAAGAAAAACTGTTGAAATATCATTTTGAATAAACACCTGATGACTGGGCATACACAGTGGGTATGCCTATGAAACTCAGAGATGGGGTTTACACATATATGTCTCTTGTATATTTATTCTAAATTCTGTATACAGACCATTCAGCTGATAATGGCATCCTTGTCTTACCAAGGTTGCCTGCCTCAACTAGCCGGAACTTGACAGCTGCTTCTAAGCCAAGACTGTGAGAAAAGCCTCCAGTCGGGAATGCTTATAATTACAAAAATTTAATGAAAAAAATATTAATATGATTACAAAATTAATATATACAGTACTAGTACTATAAGGATTAATAATTAACTGATAAACTTAAGTTAATGCTGTTTATTTACCTGCTGGCTGTATGTTAACTACTGCAAGTGGACTAAAACAATTGGGTTATTTGGGTAATTACATATGGTTCTCAAATTTATTATTCAGAAAATTTCAATTATAAAATATACATAAATTAAATAATTTAAAATTAACAGTTAATAAAAAATATAGAGAGCAAACGAATATACCTGACTTTTTTTTGCAAGAAGACTTAAAATTATATACCAATTACTTCAGTGTTAAATGACCTTTGTGAAATTGAAATTCTTCATTTAATATCGCCCCCCCCCCCCCCCCAATTCCAAACATCATACAGTACATGTACAGTACAACCATTCTTTACTTACCACTGTCTGATATTTGCAGTAGAGTTAACAACTGTGTCTGAGCGATTGCCATGTTCTGAACTGTGCAATGATTGTGGCAAAGGTAAATCCGATCCCCTTCAAAGGGACGAACTTATTGGGTTCGAGTGTAAAACGAAATAAACTAGCACCTGTAGCACCTGCGTAAGCACAAAAGTGATCTGTCGCTAGATGGCAGTGCCGTTTGTATTATGAAATGTACCAAGAATTATTCTCTGTCATGATTGGTCAACTGTGACACACCTCCCGGACAGCGCAGTGATACCTAAAGCTCAAGACGTACCAAAATGCTTCATTTATCCCATTAAGTTGGTAAAAACATCACCAAACCTTTTTGGAAGTATTATCTATAAGTGAATAGGCGTATTGTTTCAATTCCCTATCTTATCATCGGTGTACTTTTTTCTCAGCTGACTCCGACCGTAGACGTTATTCGGTTGTGTGTTAGAGGTCACGCTAGACGAAAATAGAGAAGTTGTGATAGTTTGGCCTATATTTCCTTTAAAGAAGCATCAGATTTTAGTGCTACTGTTTGTTAATGAGAAGAATTAAGATGCTAAACCTGCGGAGGATTCTGTGTAGTGCTGTCAACAGGTAAAAGTCACGCTTTAACACAACTCGGCAAGGTTTTTACGTTGACCTTTACTGAAATGTCACTTGAATTTCATGGAGAGGGCCGACTGACTGGTCGTAAATAATCAAATTTTTAATTCTGCGCAATTAATGGATGATATATAAGTACGATTGTCTGAGTTTGATGCTAGATGGATGGAAAACCTTCCTTGTATCTGAAATATTATAATACGTATATACTTTCATCAAATTCTACATAATCAAGGTTATTTACATACATGTACATGTACGTCTCTACTGTAAAAGCATGTCATGTAAGATATATGTAATGTAAATCAAACAAGTTTAAGTCCCCATTTAATGAATAGGAGGTTATGCGCTGCACTGGACTGTAGCATTCAAAACATCATTAGTGCATTATCGCCAGTCCCAAGAAAGGGGAGTGACGGGAGTAGACGTACTGAGTATAGCTGGTGCCCATGGTTCATTCTGATGCAACTACATTTTGTATAAATATGCATTGATTTATTCATTGAATCCAGGTATAGTATAACTGCATTCATGAATTTAGGAGGTATTAATATGTATGATGTCTAATTCACAAGCATAAGGAGTCATAATCACCCTTGAGTTTATGGAATCAAAAGATTTAAGATCAATTTTTTTGGTAGATTACCTACTTAAGCAATTTACAGACCCCTAGTGATAAGGCCAATTAACTTGGCACATTTTTTCTTACATTTTTCACAACTCAAAATGATATCTACATGTGTACTAGCTACAGAGATGCCAATCTCTGGAAATCTAAAATCTAGAGATTATAAAATTTTCCTCAGGAGGAGGAGAGAGTGGTCGCTGCCGTTGTGCACAGGGGGTGGGGGGGGGGGGGTGTGTGCATCCACTCTTTGCCAACCCCCTCCCCCTTCCCCCAAGGTAAGTTAAAAAATGTAATTGTTTTGATTTGGGTATTTGAGACAGGATGTATGCTGACAGTGATGCAACTTTTTTATCCAGGAGATTTGGTTATCCTTACAGGAGATCAGGTGATATGTTCTATATCCAGGAGTCTTCCCGATTATCTGAGAGGCCTGACATGTACATGTATGTTGCTAGTACCTTAATTCACTGCTGCTGGTCAACAAGTTCATGTGCAGCCTAGCCAATTGTTCAGCAGGGAAGAGTGACTGTTATTATAAAATAATAGTTAAATTTTTTCAATCATCCTAGACACTGTCTAGTTCTTGTAGCCAGTCAGGCAAATCCGGATTTGTTAAAGTAAGGTCTGCATAGTAGGTCAGGGTGTATATGTTACAACAGGTGTGTAATGTGAGTATCTGAATGTTGAATGGCAAAGCCTGGCATGACAATAGCTTTGGTCCCTGGTACTGAAGTAACAATGAACTTAAATAACTGTAACTGCAGTGTATGTAGTCACAGGTATAGCTGCACGAAGCCTTTAAAATACACAGTGGACATATAAACATTCTGAACAACAACAACAACAACAAAAAAAAAAAAAAATATATATATATATATATATATATATATTGGATGAGTCATTTTAGTTTTTGATATTATTGTTGTATGTACCTATAATGGTACTGGAACCTTGGCTCAGCTATCCAACAATATTGGATTCATACATGTACTGAATCAGAGCATGAAGGCTGGCCATGTATTTAGTTCATATCAAGTTACAAATATTAATTGACTTGTATATATTTGTTGTATGCTCTGTGACATTGCAGACTGCCCTTTTCAGGTCCAATAGTCTCAAGATAATCACTAGACTACTAGTATTCATTCACACTGTTTAATTTTAAGTTTCATTCATAACTTAGATTTTCTACCCTTTCAGCACCTCAGTGTGCCATGTTTATCAATTTCTGCTGATTGAAATTTTTTCTCCACTACTGTACCTTATGAAATATTAAAATATAATACACAACATTACCCTTTTTTGCCGTAATCCTTTGACAATTCAAGTTTACAGATGTTTAATGTCCATATATTTGACTGTACTGAAATGTGAAGTCTGTTTTCTCATTTTCTGTAAGACTATAGGCCTGACTACTTTAGTGTTGGTCACGTCCACAAACCTAAGTAAGTTTTTTGTTTTAATGATGACTTACAACATATATTCCATATATTCTAGACATGACTACATAAGTCTAAGGTCCGCCAGTTTCCTGAAGAGCTATATGGCTACTAATGAGCCTGTCTTGGATTACGCCCCTGGTAGTGGGGAGAGAATGGCGCTGGAGGACGCCTTGAGGTCCTACGAGGGAAAAATGACAGAGGTTCCTGTGATTGTTGGAGATGATCAGCATTTCACAGATGAGTTTCGTTATCAGCTTTGTGTGAGTGAAAGGAATATTTTAATATAGGGGGGCATTGCAGAAAACTATCCTCATTAACCTCTGGACTTCATTGACTGTTAACCTCTGGACTTCATTGACTGTTAATTATCTGATAAAATTAGACGTCTTATGTTTGTAAAAAAAATGAAAAAAAAATACCCATTTATTTTTGTATTCAGCATGTACAGTGCTCTGTTCTATCTAAATTATTTTTGACTTCATTTGTAGACTTGAACACACTTTTCTAAACCAATTTGGAATAGACTTGAATTGTTTAGTGACTTACAGGCAAAATATTGTTTTGTATACTATTTTTTTCAAGTCTGGTCATATATAATCCTGTTTCTTTTTCCAGCCAGCTGATCACCAACGACAGGTGGCAAAGTACCATTTTGCAACCAAAGTAAGTATTGTAAATTTAAAGTATTTATTGACTCTTGGGTAAAATACAAAATTATTTTATTTGTTGTTGAAACAAAATTAAGTAAATTTCTTTATTGCAAAGACCAGGAAAACATTTGTGTTATTGCACCTTGAATCAGAAACAGACCTGTTTATAATTGAAAGAAAAATGTGAGTTAGCACTGGAATGTACACATTTATTAAGACCTTTGATTTATTTGTCAGTAAACATGTTGTATGTAATAGCTTGGTGTAAAATATATTTAAGAATAAATTAAAGAATAAATATAAAAGAATGTAAATGAATATATTCAAAAAGTGGAAAACATTTCAGAGTAGTCATATTATATTGGTCTTTGTCCCCTACTCAGGAGCTGATCCAGAAAGCCATAGACGTGAGTCAGAAAGTACGACCTGCCTGGGAGAAGAAACCACTGGAGGAGAGGGCGGAGATATTTCTAAAAACGGCAGATCTCATGAGCACCAAGTACAGGGCTGACATGAATGCTACTTCCATGATTGGCCAGGTAATGTTCTTTTATGTCACAGACCTATCTGCATTCTTAAAAAAAATTTTTTTTGGAGGTGTTTCCATCACCTTGTTGCCATGCACTTCACTGGACATTTGCTCATTAACACAAAAGAATAAAGTGTGTTACAAAAGACATCATTTGAAAATGTTCAGGAGCGATTTATTTTCTATCAAATAACTCACGTTATTTTTCTTTCTTTTTAAGATGCAAGTGTTTGTGTGTGTGTGTGTGTGTGTGTGTGTGTGTGTGTGTGTGTGTGTGTGTGTATATTTTTTTTTTTGCTTTAATGAATTTTTTATATCTTTTATAATGTCATTTACAGCAATCTGTTTATCAGACAATACAGACAAATTCTCATATTGGAAAGTTTAATTATTGGTTAGATTTAGTAAATGCGTATTTTATTTGTGTATTTTTTTTCAGGGTAAGACAATTATCCAAGCTGAAATAGATTCTGCCTGTGAATTGATTGATTTTCTTAGGTTCAATGTTCAGTTTGCCATGGTGAGTCACTCTGTTTGTTTACTGTTCTGTATTAAACTACTGGTAGACATGCTCAATGATGGGGGATATCGATGGTTGTGATTTTTTTTAATTAAAAAAGTTTTGAAAAAATACATTGTACCATTGTAATTGTTTGTAATTAAAAAGCCAACTTAAACTTTTTATGTTGTAACTAATACAAAATCACAGGCCATTAGTCTAAAATTGTGCAGTTCAATGAGAACCATTCTTACATACATACCGGATACAAAGACAAATGATTAATTTTGATATCCATATGCAATAATATATAATTTAATAATAAACATTCCATTTTATTCACACCAGGATATGGCCAAGTACCAACCAGTATGCACACCAACAGATACAAATTACCTGAGCTTCCGAGGATGTGAGGGATTTTGGGCAGCCATTACACCTTTCAACTTCACGGCCATTGGTGGTCACTTGCCAAGTGCTCCAGCATTCATGGTAACTGTCCTTTTTACTACTCCCTCACTCCCACTCCTTCCCCTCTCTCTCTCTCTCTCTCTCTCTCTCTCTCTCTCAGTATTTTGCAGCCTTCACAACTTGCAAGATTTTATGCAATAATTTCTCTGTTGCCAGGGTAACACGGTGCTATGGAAACCAGCTGGCACGGCCGTTTTATCAAACTACACGTTCTACAAAATATTACGAGAGGCAGGTCTGCCCCCTGGTGTCATAAATTTCCTTCCGTCCTCGGGTCCTGTATTCGGAGAAACAATTACCTCGTCACCACATCTTGCTGGCATCAATTTTACTGGAAGTGTTGAGTGAGTGTTATTGAAATTAAAATTGAACTGATTGAACGTAAGACATTTAAATAAAATTTTGATAAAATAGGTGAATCCTGCTGATATAAGTGATAAGTAGAAGAATGTGATGTCAAAATAGAAAACATTAAATCATAACAGGTGATGGTGCATTAATTTGCTGAATTTTATATTGTAACAGTTGTTGAATATTTTTGTGCAGGACCTATCAAAGGGTGACTGCCATGGTCACAAAGAATCTCCATCTCTACAGAACTTTCCCAAGGTTAATAGGGGGTGAGTAGTGTACTTTATCCTATACCCAGGGGCAGATTTAGGCCGTCTTATGGGTTTTCTGAACGATGGTCAGATTTTTAAGTTTTCATTGATGGGTATCTAATTTTTTTCTGTCGGAAGACTGTCAAAAATGGAAGCTGGATCAGCAAAATAATTTGGAAGACTGTCAGAAAATATCTCTGGATCCGCCCCTGTATACCTAAAAATCATGTGCTTTAGTTTACTTCATCCTACTATTTACAGTGGATTGCATTTACAGCACTTTTTGCTACAGGAATCATTTGAAAAATAATTCATAATGGTATACTTTTGAAAGCACAACAATAAAGGGGAAATATTGACAGTGATGATGTGAGGACCAAATTCAATAAAGCCGATTGATTCACTGAACATCTTGAAAGCAACATAGTATTAACTACTAGTAGTGCATTTTTCTCTAGAATGACAAATTTAAAATAATACAAAGGACAAAAATAAATTTAATTGATTCAATCACTGACAGTCTTAAATACCATTAGATAACATGTTGTTTAAAAACATTTTTCTTCTCTAGAATGTGGAGGTAAGAACTTTCACCTAGTCCATCCCAGCGCAGACGTTACACAGGTCGTATATCACACAATAAGGGCAGCGTTTGAATACAGTGGTCAGAAATGTTCCGCCTGCTCGCGTCTCTATGTTCCCCACTCCTTGTGGCCACAGATTAAGGACATGTTTGTAGAGGAGTACAAGAAGATAAAACTGGGTTCTCCACTGGAATTTGATTCCTTCTTAAGTGCTGTGATTGATAAAGCTGTGAGTTGAATTTGAATTGTTTTTATTATTTTTCATAAATATAGTTATATTTTATTGTATAAAAATTGTTTTTGATTTATCTAGTGACATTTTATGATATCAAAAAATATCTGATTAAAATTGTAGTGAGCATGGATAAGAAATTTTGATGGTTTGTGTGATCTTAAATATAATCACAGTTTACTGTTCAGAAGGTGTTATGGTTTTAAAGATTCTGAAATGTTTAAATTTATGACCAAGAAAGAAAAAGTCATTTGGGTATAACTGGATTTTGTGAAGAATCAATTTATCTCATGCAAATTGCTAAATTCTTATTTTGGTTGCCTGTGGATAAACAGAAATAAAAGAGAAAACTATTTTATAATATATTATTAATTTTTAAAGCTAATATTGTTTTCTGTCGTATTGCATGGTTTCATGTGGACCCTGGTTCCCAACAAACTATTGCAATTTTTTTGTTTGTTTTTTCCAGTCATTTCAGAATATTAAGAGTTACCTAGACTATGCAAAAGAAAACCCTAACCTGAATATTGTGGTGGGAGGAGTGTGTGACGACAGGTGAGATGGTTAATGTCTCTGGGTTCGATACCAGAAATAAGTAGTGTTCTCAATATTGTTGGGTTGATCTTACTATTTTTCCACCTCATCTTACTGCCTGATTTAATTGTAATTCTTAAGTTTCTTTATATGTAAAATACCTGCCTACTTTAATTAGACAATGTTTTAAAATAGTTAACTTCACATAATTTTAAACAACAGTACCACAGTATTGTAATTCTAAAAAGTCTTGTTTACTACAAGATCTGCTGCCTCTTTCAGGAAATAAACTGTCATATTCAATGTATCATTTCAGCAAGGGATGGTTTGTTGAGCCAACAATAATTGAAACTTCAGATCCCAAGGACAAACTAATGCAGGAGGTATGTTGTCTACTAATGCTTCTTCACTGATGGTTTTATTTCTCAGACAAGAGTTTTTGACAGAAAATACCTTTGCCATTTTGTTGCCCAAGTTAGAATGGGAGCCCAGGCTGCCCATGGGAGCCCAGGCTGCCAAAGAGACTGCCAGGGAGACTGTCCTTATGCAGTCTAGGGCAGTCTCCTTGAGCAGGCAGACTGCAAAGGGGGCTGCAATAACTTAAACATTTTTGCAGGAGACTGCAAAGGGGGCTGCAATAACTTAAACATTTTTGCAGGAGACTGCAAAGGGGGCTGCAATAACTTAAACATTTTTGCAGGAGACTGCAAAG